CGTGATAGTAATGTCAGTCAAGACAAATGGTAAGAGTAATGTTTGTAATTGTGATTTGTTGAAATGTGATTATTGTGGAAAAAAAACGATATACCAGAGCACTGTTGGAAGTTGCATAGTTGTCCTACCCAAGGGCGTGGAGCTAGCCGAGGTGTTTCTATGCGATCTCAAGCACACTTCATCTATCATAGCTTCCCCCTCAGTACCGATTTCCTGTACAGGTAATCAAGAACATGCTCTCATGTCTTTTCTTCTACTTCGAAAATTTATTCAAGAGATACGGACCATATGACAGGTTGTTTTAACTTTTTTTGGTCTTACTCTCCTTGTTCTGGTAAAAAATAAAGTAAGAGTTGCTAATGGTACTTTATCTTCCGTTTTTGGAAAAAGGTTTTATACAATGCTCTCCCTCCATTTCCCTTTCATCTATTTCATCATATGTTCCAAACTTCTCTACTAATTTACTCTATATCAATAGTCTTACTAATTCTTTCAACTGCTCTATAACATTTTTTCCTACTCATTGTGTGTTTCAAGAACTGGAGAAGGGGAAAATGATCGACACTAGTTTGCATTTGACAAATGATGTTTCTTTATCTACATTGTCTTTGGGTCAAAGGCTCTACAAGTGGATACTGCATTTCCTTTTCCACTCTTACCTCAGTGGCACCATCGTTTAGGACATTAATCCTTTGGTGTTCAGGAGAAACTTTTTCCTATGTTAGCTAAATTATGTCATAGGGAACAATTTTGTTTGTGATGCCAACGAGTTTGCAAAGCATAAACGTTCATATTATCCTTCCATTAATAAAAGAAGTGATTTTCCCTTTATGCTTATTCATTTTGATGTGTGGGGTCCCTCTCGAATTGTTTCTCGTTTTGGTTATGTTGGTTTGTTACATTCATTGATTGTTATTCTCGTGTTACTTAGTATATTTACTTCAAACCAAGAGTGAAGTATTTTCCTACTTTAAAGTTTTTCATTAGATGGTGACTAACCTACTACTACCATTAAAACTCTTAGGAGTGACAATGGGACTGAATTTATTGATAACAAATTTTGAGCATACCTTGAAGAGCACGGTATCCTTTATCAAACGAGGTGTGTAAGAACTCNCAATGGGACTGAATTTATTGATAACAAATTCTGAGCATACCTTGAAGAGCACGGTATCCTTTATCAAACGAGGTGTGTAAGAACTCTTGAATAAAATTTGATTACTAAGTGCAAAAATTGTCAGCTTCTTGAGATTGCTCGTGCTCTTATGTTCACTATGAATGATCCCAACACCTTTTAGGGGGATGTTGTTCTTACTGTTACATATCTTATTAATCGCATGCTCCCTAGCATTTTTCAATTTAAGGTTCCTTTTGAACTTCTCCATAGGTCCCTTTCTTTTTCCTCTCTTTCTCCCAAGGTATTTGGGTGTACTTGCTTTGTTCATGTCTTGCCATTCTCGTGGTAAACTCGACCCTAAGATTGTGTGATGTGTCTTTGTTGGATATTTTATGCCTCAAAAAGGTTACAAATGCAATGATTCTCAGTCTCACAATGAATATGCTAGCATAGACGGTTGGACAGACGTGATCATCAAACTTTCTCAACATCCAAAATATCACAACATTCATGTGTCACCAAATCAGTTGTCATCCCCAACTCCAATTTCATATTCCCTACAGAGGCTTCGAAAGATAAATCTCCACCTCCTATTGTTATAGACATTGATGATTGTTCTCTTCCTATTGCTCTTTATAAAGGGTGTGAGATTTTTACACTCAACATCTCATTCTAACTTTATTTCTTATAACTCCTTGTCTTCTTCGTTTAGTGCCTTTGTTTCGTCTGTCCTTTGCATCTATTCCACTGGGTTAGAAAGCAACTATTGTAGATCCTAAGTGGAAAGAAACTATGGCAGAGGAAATAAAAGCTCTAAGCAAGAACAACCATGGGAATTAATTTCACTTCCAGCCGGAAAGAGACCTGTAGGATATAAGTGGATCTTTACTGTGAAACAGAAAATAGATGCACCAGTTGGAAAATATAAAGCAACGTTGATTACCAAAGGTTTTACTCAAACTGGTGGCATTAACTACGAGGAGACCTTTGCCCTTGTTGCAAAGATGAATTATATTTGCACTCTTCTTTCTTGTGCCACTAATCTAGGTTGGCCTTTACAACAACTAAATGTGAAAGATACATTCCTTCATGGCGGAGAAAGAAGCTTATATGAATATTCCACTAAGTTTTTTTTCTCATTTTACTGTTGAGGAAAGAAATTTATGGCTTGAAATAGTCTCCAAGTAGTCTTATTGTTTATGTGGAGGGCATAGTGGTTACGGGCAAAGATGTGAAGGAGATGTCTCACCTAAAATTACGTCTGGCAAGGGAGTTTGAGATCACAGATTTAATGTTAGATTTGATAACATCTTTATATCTTAGAGAGTACGTTATTGACCTGCTTGAAAGACTGGCANAAAGATTTAAGTTTATTGAAATACTTTCTAGGGATTAATGTTAGATATGATAACATCTTTATATCTTAGAGAGTACGTTATTGACCTGCTTGAAAGACTGGCATGTTGGGTTTTATACGAGCAGACACACCAATCGAGACCAATTATATGTCAAGAAATGGCATAGGTGACCATNCATGTTGGGTTTTATACGAGCAGACACACCAATCGAGACCAATTATATGTCAAGAAATGGCATAGGTGACCATTGGGATAAAGAAAGATTCCAACAACTAATAGGGAGATTGATATACTTAGCTCACACTCGGCCAACAATTGTTTACGCAGTGGGAGTTGTTAGCTGGCTAAAGAATGACCCTAGTACAGTGCATCTACTCGCAGAATTCTGAGGTATATTAAGTCCGTTACAAAAAAGGACATGCGGTTGTTAAACAACTATCTACTCCAAAAGTTTAAGTTATTGAGAAGGATGTAACTTAAACATTTATACTCCAATATGCCCGTCACGAGGAGACTAGGGCGTAGCACGTGGAAATCTTTTTAATAAATAGGATGGCCGTGAGATTCGATCACAAGACCTTATGCTCTGATACTGCGTTAAATAACCATCTACTTCAAAATCTTAAACCGGTGAAAATGGTATAACTTAAGTATTTATATTTCAACAATTGTTTGAAGGCATTCAGTGATGCTAATTAGGTAGGCTCAGTTGATAATTGGAGATCTACCTCTAGATACTGTACTTTTATGGGAGGGAATCTGGTTACTAGGCGTAGTAAAAAACAGTTTGTGGTGGGCCTGGTGGCTAGGTCCAGTGTTGAAGTAGAGTATATAGTTATAACTCATGGCATTTGTGAGCTTATGTGGGTTCTCAGAGTTTGATGCAAGACATAGGAATTCCGATTGATGGGCCTATGAAGTTGTGTTATGACAATAAGTTTGCTATTGATATTGTTCAGTACGACAGAACCAAACATATTAAGATTGATAGACATTTCAAGAAAGAGAAACTCAAGAAGGAGGTAATCTATATACCATGCGCTTCTTCTTACTACGCCACTAAAATACTTTCCGCCAAGCCCCTCCCGCGCTAAAAAATTCCTGCCCTACTATATGTGGCAAAATTATTATTGATGAAGTTAAATTTGTCACAGATGACACCTAAGTTTACATAATTAGTGACAATGTTAATGGTCTCCACTTAAATGGTATGTTTTTGTGGCAAGATAACACTGTCGCCACTAAATTCTACGTATTAGCTACAAAAAAAATATCGCCACTAAAAGCCTTGTTTCTTGTAGTGTTTAAGGGGGGTATTAAGAGATGTCTTATATTCCATGAGGGGTATTTACGTACTTTCAGTCTTACTATCATAAATACATGGGACTAAAAGGGATAACCCTAATCTGGGATTTTCTCTCAACAACCACCACATTCGCACAAACTCTCTCGACTTGTTCTCGTTTTTTCTCTTTTCATATCTTAATAGAAAGTTATGGTGGCTGGTATAGTTTCATTTTCTGAGAAGGAAGTAGTGAGGGTTCATCTATTTAGGACAAAGGNTTAATAGAAAGTTATGGTGGCTGGTATAGTTTCATTTTCTGAGAAGGAAGTAGTGAGGGTTCATCTATTTAGGACAAAGGAATAAGATTGGAAGTGCAATATGTTGAATCTTTGTTTCAAAAGGCCTATGAACTAAGCATAAGAGGACAAAAGACTTAAGGAAGGATGAGATTACATAAGAAAGAGAACATATAGAAAGTGATGAGATATTGGACTTCNGTATAAGATTGGAAGTGCAATATGTTGAATCTTTGTTTCAAAAGGCCTATGAACTAAGCATAAGAGGACAAAAGACTTAAGGGAGGATGAGATTACATAAGAAAGAGAACATATAGAAAGTGATGAGATATTGGACTTCCTCAATGAAATTTTTTTAGACTTCTTTATGATAGAGAGGCTTGTTTCACTTGGAAGGCTATTTGGACGATGAAACTCTAGCAAGTAGCATTGGATGCTAGTTAGATGGGTGACAATGAGGCAAAGGATAAAAAATCTATGGCAATTGGTATCCCATGCATTAGCTCACCGTTATTGTAAATCACCTGGCTTTCCCATATAGGGGCTAGGGTGATGTGGATCTTGCTTTAGAGTGGTTTGGATGATGGGACGGACTATTTCCGAATTCTGGTATAGCTTAACATTATCAAGAAGGAAAAGAGAGGGACAGGTGAAAGGGACAGTCTCTTCATGCTTGTTTTGGTAATAGGTGGTGCAAACATAATTGAAGAGCTTCTAGGGGGAGTAATAATCCAATTTGTTGACACTTTGTTTTTCAAGTTCTATAGGTCTGTCTCCCAGAGCACACACTTCTTTAGATAATTTTCTCGGGAGATATATAGAAGTTTCTAGTGGTGGGTAGATGGTCTTTTATAAAACTCGGCCCCCTTTTATCGTCTTTAGAGGATATTGATGCTAATCACTAAAGATAAATAGGTAAATAAACAAAAGAGCAGAAAGATAAACTATCTAAACAACATCAAATCGCAGTTGATTTGCTTGGTCTTTAACCCTGTCTTGTAGATATGGGTGTTTGCTGATACAACATAAAGTCAATGGTTTTTAGAAGGAAATATTTTATTGAGAAACACAATAATCGGCAGTGTCATGAACAGAACAAAAAAAGACACAACCAAAACCCTCAAGCACATAACTTAGCTGCAGTATCCACTTATAGGAATTCCCTATTGCTAACATATTGCAATAATTATACCTACCTGTTGCTTCTTTAATAGCTGAAAATGCAAGCTGCCGAAAACCAGTTTCATCAGCATCCTGTTCATCTTTCAAAGTTTTTTTACTGACTTTTTTCCTTTTGTTTGTGTGTTTTCCCCCCACAGGACTGTCTGAATTAGTATTGAATGCATCAAGATCTTTTTCAATGACTGACCAAATCCCATGGGTGATTGTACTAAATTGCAGCAAGCAGTTCTCTTTCCTGGAGTCTATCAACAATACAGCAACTTTGGAAATTGGCCATCCCTCTATGATTGGAACATCTTTTGATGCATCTAGAACCAAGGATATATTACATGCATCCATAATTGCTTTCTCTGTTGCTGAAAGCTGATTTTCCAGGTCATCAAACTCAATATTATCAGACTGTTGCATGAGTTTCATGTGTGCCATCAATGTTGGTTTCAAAGTCGCAGCTAACTTGCAAAATGACTCAAAGTCTAGAAACTCCAGTTCTGGATGTTGTTTCCTCTGGTAATAATTGTAGAGTACCACAACAGCATGAACCTGAAGCAAAAATAAGCAATAAATGTATGGTCCATAATAGCTTTTATTACATATGATAATATCTGTGTTAATAGCAAACCTGCATCACCATCCTTCGCACACCACCAACCAATTCATTTACCAAAATTCTAATAGCAATCAATGTGCCATTTTGAGGTCTTATGAGTGAATTTGAATGGATCCAAAGACAAATGGAATGAGTCCACCTAAAGGGGAGGAGATTTCAATGTGGTTTAATTCCCAAAGGAGGGGCTTGATAACTTTCCTGTTTGGAGGCAAAACTTTGCTAGGNGGTCTTATGAGTGAATTTGAATGGATCCAAAGACAAATGGAATGAGTCCACCTAAAGGGGAGGAGATTTCAATGTGGTTCAATTCCCAAAGGAGGGGCTTGATAACTTTCCTGTTTGGAGGCAAAACTTTGCTAGGTACATTAATGAAGAATCAACATCTATGACAAAATGGATAGGTTTCTCATTATTGCACGAAGAAGCAAATAATGTCAGGCATGAATTGAAGCTCCCTCCCTAGGTCTAAATCAGATCATTTGTCCGTATAGTTAAGAAAGAACTGCAAATGGAAAGATGATCACTTATATTTAAAAAATGGTGATAGAAAGAGACAGGCTCTGTTATAGGGTTCAGTTAATAGCAGAGAGGTTACAAGGTTGTGGCCAGTACTTTCTTGATGATTAAAACTGCTCAAAGAGGATTTGAAAAATTGAACAAAAACGTGGTTGGCAATCTGGAGTTGATAAAGAGTAGGCTTTCAAGAGAAATAAGAGCAACATATTATAGTAGTAGTTGGGGCTCATCCGGCTGTAGGACCAAGGGGAGGATTGGATTTGAAAATGAGTTAGTCCACCCTTTTCCTAAGTTTGGACGGAAAAATCCATTTCAGGGCGTATTCCACAACAAAACTTAAGCCCCCACAGTAACCCATAATAAGCCCAGGAGAAGGAATGAAAAATAAAAAGGGGTAGGGGAGTGTTGTACTATAATCCCAGGTGACAAAGGATAATGAGTCACATGCCTAGGATAGCAAGGTGACAACACGCGGGGATGGGATTTGACCAAGTGTTATTCCACTCCTAATTCCGCATTTTACCACGCGAGATAAAAAATTCCAAAGGGTAAACTCTCTCACCCTGTGTCCGCCACTCTGCCTACACCGGATTGGACTAGATTATACTATACAATCCGACCTTTCTTAATCTGGCAACCAAACAAATCCTTTAGGGTCCGTTGCTGTTTGAGTGGACAAGAGGAGGACTTTGATGGACCGCAAAACTGAAAACTAGATAACACAGAAGATAAAAGGACTATGGTTGAGAAAGGGAAAGGGTAGGACAATTTTTTATAAGACTTAAGAATAGCAATAAATGACCCCTTCCCATTGGGAAATATACGTAGGTCAAAAAGCAAGGACAAGAGAGGATGATGCTAGATACAGGCAAGGATCAAAATATCATTTCGAAACAGTCAAAACATCCGAAACGTTTTCATTTCTGAGGAGACGGAAACGAGTCAAGGATGAAATCAAAATTCTAATACTCAGGGTGTTCTATAATGTTTCAAAATATTTTATTATATTTCAATGTATTTACACAATTATTTCGGAATGTTTTAAGGTATTTCAAGATATTTTGGTATATTTCAACCAATGTTCTAAAAAAATAATTCTTAAATTTGTATTTTTTTAATATGATTTTCGAAACGGATTGAAACGTTTTTGTTTTCTAGAAGACCGAAACAATGCATCGAAACGAAATTTTGATCCTTGGATACAGAGAAGAGCATACCAGCAGCAGAAGTTTCATTTGCATCCACTAACTAGCTCCCTTGTACCAGCCATGTAAATTGGAAGCGAAATTGTAGCTGGCCATTGTAAAGTAGTCAAGTAGAGTAAACATCGTCTCAGGTCATTTAAAATCCATGAAGTTTCTCCATTCAAACTCTTTGTAGTTATTCTCAGTTTCATCTCTGCAGCGGTTTTACTCCTGTCATATGGTACCACGAAGATAAACTTTTAAAACTGTACATCCAATCAGGAAATACTTCCGACCTTCCAATTTAGCACCTCCATCTAAACGAAGGAATTTAAAAAAAAATTGTTGATGAATAAAACAACCATGATAATAATGAAGTTAAAGACCTCACAAGATGAACCTTTGGACTTCTTAAGGGCAAGGTTCCACAGCTAAATTTCCAGTATAAGCTTCCACACTAAATTTGCTAATAAACATGTCTTTGAAATTCCATCTTGTAGCCTCCAATAAAGTCTTCTCCAGCCAAGCCACCCTATCTAACCCAAAGATAACGAGACGGTTGCTCATCAATTTCNCAGTATAAGCTTCCACACTAAATTTGCTAATAAACATGTCTTTGAAATTCCATCTTGTAGCCTCCAATAAAGTCTTCCCCAGCCAAGCCACCCTATCTAACCCAAAGATAACGAGACGGTTGCTCATCAATTTCCAATTAGAATAATTTCTGGTCAATCTTAATGTCACACACAATATTTCTGTATTTCTTTATTCCTTTTCAAAACCACAAAGATACCCCTCAAAACAACAGTAAACTCGACAGAACACACTCAAACTATCAGACTCTGCCTAAACTATATAATCTTTCTAACTACCATGACTAAGGGTCCAATATGCATCCACTAACAATTAGGACTCATGAATCACTACTACGACCATGTCCAGCATAATAGGAAATATCCAAAATACCCTTGCCAACTTCCAGTAGCACATGAATGAACTGAACCAGCAACATATAAACTTAAAAATACTCTAATAAGACTTGGGTTCAATAAAATAATGTCCCAACTGGTCAAAATTTCAGATTTCTCTTTATTGCCTCGCCCACAAGCAGTGGAACCTTCCTTTCCTTTAGTTTGCCTCCACTTCCTTTTCCTTCAGTTTGCCTTCACAACCTTGCCACTCGAGAGCCCAATTCCATGAACTTCATATGGACTGCATCAAACAGCTTTTTTCAAGGACTTGACACTAAAATAATACAAAGTGAGGCTGAACCTTCCTTCAAGGATCAAAAAAATTTTTCAAAACGTCCAAAATATTTTCATTTCCAAAGAAACCGAAACGAATCAGTGATTGAATTGAAATTCTAATACTTCGAAATGTTTCAAAATATTTTGTTATATTTCAATGCATTTGCATAATTATTTCAGAATGNAAATTTTTCAAAACGTCCAAAATATTTTCATTTCCAAAGAGACCGAAACGAATCAGTAATTGAATTGAAATTCTAATACTTCGAAATGTTCCATAATGTTTCAAAATATTTTGTTATATTTCAATGCATTTGCATAATTATTTCAGAATGTTTAAAAATATTTCAAGATATTTTGGTATATTTTAACCAATGTTTTGAAAAAATAATTCTTAAATTTTTTATTTTTTTTATTCTATTTCCGAAACGAGTCGAAATGTTTTCAAAACAAGTTGAAACATTTCCGTTTCCTAGGTGACCAAAATAATTCACAGAAACAAAATTTTGATCTTTGTCTTCTTTAACCTAGTAAAACCACCTATGGGTCCACAATATAATTCAGAGTTTATCTATAACATTTCAATTGCTAGAGCAAACAGTTCATCTAATCAGGATATAGTTTCCAAAATGTGCTACCATCCATTGATCAGTACGAATATTTGACCAAACGTATTGCAAAAATTATACGAATATCTATCTCATTTACACCGATCGCCTACAGTGATGCACAGCCATATTATTCGGTAAACCATCGAAGGACCTGATTCTTCATAATTATTAAATATCCACTCAAAAAATTTAGTTAAATAAATCCTACTCTAAACAAGCTAAAACACCTAATCTAGCTCAAATAAATGACTCTAGATTCCATATATGCCCCAAAAGACTCCCAGTTAATAACAACTTAATCCGTTGATGTCGAAGAAATAATAGAGTCGTATTCATCTAAAATGTGTGGGCCACTGGTCAATTTGTAGCACCACTTGCTATCCTACACCATAATATAAATATAATCAGCTATCCTACACCATAATATAAATATAATCGTTTTGATGATTTCCTTTTTCCTTCTCCAAAGTAATTTATTTTATTTATTCATAAAAATATCTAAAAGAAAACCTTTTAAGTCACAGTATCCTGAATTTGGTGATGATGTCAATAATCAAACCTTGCAAAGCAGATCTTTTAAATATCAAATTGCCAAGGTTTTCGAAACGCATCCCGTGGAATTGATAATTGGCCAATGGATAACTCAAAATATAATGTCACCCAACAAGTGAAAATATTGGCAAGTCTCACTTCACCATATACAAGAGAAAGAACACATCTTTCTTGACAATTGAAAGGGTAACATGATATCTATACCCATTCTAACGGTAAGACTAATTTGATCAATATTGAAATGAAATTATCTTAAAATAAAGTGCCAAAGCGAAAGCAAAATAATAATTCATCTGTCTAAGGCTATAAAGCATGGATCATAAATTTATCCAATACAAATATCAAAAAGTTAATAAAATATTTCATCATTTCTAGATACACCTTTGATATGGAAATCCAAGACAAATAACCCAATCCTCTCACTACTTTTCTTCATAAAATTCATATCCATTTGAAGATGCATGCCGAGTTTTTACGGATCATTTATTATTTATATGTCAAAATCACATGTAATAAGTTAATTATAGTTTATATCTTAGCAACAATTACTAGCAGCTAGTTAAATACAGGTTTTGACTCTTTTAATAGCCACGTTTGCACTATAGGTACACCGTGATGAGATGATCTATATTTATTGGGATAAAATTTGCTTACCTTGGCCATACTCATACCCTATTTTTCTAAAGTTTGTCATATAATCATGCATACATTCTTGCATACTCGTATCTTGTATCTGTGTCCATAATNAGCAGCTAGTTAAATACAGGTTTTGACTCTTTTAATAGCCACGTTTGCACTGTAGGTACACCGTGATGAGATGATCTATATTTATTGGGATAAAATTTGCTTACCTTGGCCATACTCATACCCTATTTTTCTAAAGTTTGTCATATAATCATGCATACATTCTTGCATACTCGTATCTTGTATCTGTGTCCATAATTCTTAGGTCTAAGGCATGATGATCCGTAAAAGGCTTTCAAGAATTGGGTTCGATAATTAATTGTTAGGAACTTCAACAAATCGCCCAATTTGAACACAAAGATATACTCATCACAAAATTTAGATGGTTTCAATAATGAGAATAATCTATTTCAACAGAGAAATTAGAATCTCGATCTCCCCTCTAAAGAGAGCTTGTATCCCACACCCACTTATTAGGATCATCCAAAGTTGGTTTATATACTTAACAAGTCTNTCCAAGAATTGGGTTCGATAATTAATTGTTAGGAACTTCAACAAATCGCCCAATTTGAACACAAAGATATACTCATCACAAAATCTAGATGGTTTCAATAATGAGAATAATCTATTTCAACAGAGAAATTAGAATCTCGATCTCCCCTCTAAAGAGAGCTTGTATCCCACACCCACTTATTAGGATCATCCAAAGTTGGTTTATATACTTAACAAGTCTTTCCATTCATTGTTAATTAATTTTGGGTTAAATGTTCTAACATGATATCAGAACTAGGTCTTGACTCGTTAGTGGGTCAAATCTCTAACTCATTTACATTTTCCTATGCATGATTGTCTATTTGTTTGTNCGAGTCTTTCCATTCATTGTTAATTAATTTTGGGTTAAATGTTCTAACATGATATCAGAACTAGGTCTTGACTCGTTAGGGGGTCAAATCTCTAACTCATTTACATTTTCCTATGCATGATTGTCTATTTGTTTGTTAGCCTCACGTGCAAACCCAAGTCCCACGTGAGGAATGATGTAAGGAGAACTTGTATCCCAATTCACAAATTATTAGGATCACCCTAGGTTTGTGTATATGCTTGGCGAGTCTCTCTACTCATTGCTAATTGATTTTATCTTAGATGATCTAACAACCTCCTCCTAAAGTGGGTTATCAAATTCCCAACCGCTTTTTTTCTCTTCTCGTGGTACATCCCAATCCCCATTTGCCTCCATTTGTGCTCCAATATCCAAAGTTTATTCTTATTCAAGGATATTTAATATGTAAACCATAGTTATCAAATCGTGTATCGGAAGGCATATCGTTTTTTAAAAATAGTGTATCGTATCGTATCGTATATCGTAAGATACGGTACAATTTTAAATAAATAATAAAAATATATATATACCTTTGAAAAAAAATTATACACTCATAAAAATATAGCATTTCATTCATACTTCACCACCTATTCAAGTCATCAACATAGTTCACTAATATTATAATGCAAAGTTTACAACCATAGTGCACTAATTCAAACTTCAAACCCCAAAGAGACTTTTAATCCAAATTTCTAACATCCATTTTGAACTCAATACATAAAATTAATCAAGATTCAAAAAATTTTATACAAAAAAAAAAATTAATGTCTTATTTAGACAAATGACATCGTTTCAGGAAGAAAAAAAAAAAAAGGTTTTAAGTGTATCGGTCGTATCGTACCGATACATATCGTATCGTGTATCAGACGATACGATGCAAAAACGATACGTATCGCGTATCGTACGATACTAATAATTATGATGTAAACACACCTCCAAATGCTCAACATTCCAGTAACTATAAACATTTCGGTGAGAAATTAATAGAAAATGTCTCAAAAGTCAGTTCATCTAGATTTGAGACCATGCTAGTTGCCCCACAATATGTATAGTATTCACTCTAAGAGTAAGCCACAAAATAGAGAAGCATACGCCCACATGATAAATAAAACTACCACGTAATGAAACTGAAATGTGGATTATTCCAGTAAACTCCAACATTTATAGGTCGATAAATTCAAATTATAATTCTTTAAAGCAAACAAGCATATAACCCCAAAATAGTTTTAACAGAGAACAAATAAGATATAAAACTGGTTTCTTGGTCGAGTTGTAACTTGGTGCAACCACTGTGAAGCATATACAACAAATTAATAAAATAATGAAAAAGGAAAAAGGAAACATAAAATCTAAAATTTTAGTGCACCTATGAGATTAAATCTACATAAAAACAATGACTTGAAATCTGGGTTTCAGTCAGTTCAAAAATCAGAACTCTAAACATGTGAAACTGATAAACACCTGTTTTGCCACCAATTGCTGTTGATAAAGTGAAGGAGCTTCTCGCGTGGAGGCCTTCAAGGGTAACATCGGATCAACCAAGTATTCCATCAATGCTTGAACCACATCCTCAGCTGGACCCACCACTGATGATGATGAACTCATTTTCACAGCCGCTGCATCCATCAATTCTACATAACCATAAAATTAGGGGTTTAAACTTCTGGACTATATCAAAAAGGTTTATCAAGTCTTTAGCTTCTGGGTTTTGTCTAAAAGGTTTACACACATGTGAAAATAAGGGGATTAAAGCAGATTGAAACAGGTAGAGCAAAAATTGAACCAAAAAACAAAGATCAAAAGATAGTGAATGTTACTGCTCTACCAAATCGAACTTTCAGTTCAGAATAGTCAATTTCTATCTATTAGTGCTTAAGAAATCTTATAAATAGACAGCCACTCACTCAAACACTACGGTACATGACTAAAGACAGTTTATGGTAGTACTTTACTGATTAAAACAGTGTTTCTGTATAGAAACCCACAACAATTAGGGTTTTAGACCGGAATTTAACCAAGAAAGTTCACCATCTTTGAAAATCGTAGAAATTTGTTTCCACAAATTTCTTGTATGAGGGTGTCTAATTAAAATGAACTTTTAGCAACCTTTGATATGATGATTTACAAATTTTTTGCATGTTTGATAGAAGTCTGAAATATAATTCAAGACTCCTAAATCCTTGTAATTGTCTCTCTTTTATTTTCGTATAAATAGTGTACTTGCGTGATTCTACAGTAGAAAATAAATTAGTATCAAAAACCATGATCAAAGAAAGTAAACTTAACAAATAGAACTGAAAAACAATGATCAAAAGCAAGTACGTAGCTTACCAATCCAACTTTCACGGACCTTCCCCTACCTCTACTCTAATCACCGAGAGAGAGAGAGAGATGGGTATGTGTATATGTTAGTGTATCTAGAGACAGAGAGGGAAGTAGCCGAGGAAAAGTGAAGAGTTGGGTGTTCAAGGTTCAGACAGTCACATAAAGGGCATGGTAAAGAGTGCAGGACTGCAGACAGAAACAGACACCTGTTACCAACGTGTCAGCTTTTCGCCTGGAAAAGGCGCGAAATCTGCATGAAAAGGGCCCCATCTTCTTTCTATGCCAAATTCGCTGAAATGACCCAAAACTATGGTGCCTAAAAATATAATTTCGGTATTATAATTTGGGTTTATAGTACTTTTAATTACTAAAATATATATTTTTTAATAATTTAATCTTTAATATATTAATTTTATCCATTTGTTAAAATATTTAATTTATATTATTTTAATTTCTATATAAATAGACCGTTAATTTTTTTGACATAAATAATTATATATCTTTTTTTAGACGGTATCACTATTACATGTTTAACACGTAATTATTTTGTTAAAAATTTAATAGTCTATCTGTGTAATAACTAAAATAATATGAATTGAATATTTTATGGACCAAATTATCACATTGAAAACAAGGGCGACTCAACAGTGTTAGAAAAAAATTTAGAATTTAGGCCTTATTTTTTAATAAGGTTCTAAATTTTTAAATATCATAAGTAGTACATGTAAAAAAATTAAATTTATAAATATTTTAAGCCCTATAAAAATGTTTTATAAAAATACAAGTCCAGTCAAAAAAAGTTTAAAACCTCACTTCAAGGAAGACCCAAAATTTATAGGTGTACAGCAATAGTCCAAACAAAAAATTTAAATTCATACTTTAACAAAAAATTTCAAGTTAATTAGATTGGGTCTATTAATTCAGCCGGAAAATTAAAAGGCCCTAAAATTTATTTTTTTAATAAAGAAAAAAAAAACTAACCGTAAAACTAAAACTACTAAAATATCTAATTATAACCCCCAAAAAAGTCAAGTTTAAACTTCTTATCATAATTTTCATTCATTCTTTCTCTCTCTTACCATTAAGCTCAAATATAACAACAAAAAATTGAATATAAAATTTTAATTAATATTTTTGTACTAATAAAAAATTTAAAAATTAAATTTAATATTAATATTAAAAATAAAATGACCTCATTTATCGTTTCCGCTTTAGGCCCAAAAAAGTCTCCGGCCACTTCTGATTGAAAACTAAACTGACAAAAAAAACATATATTAGGGATCAAAAGTGATATTAACCCTATAATTTTGAGATGTAGATATTTTTTTATGCATTCATAACTGTTAATTATAAAAAATAATAACTTAAAATAAATTATTTTTACATGGGTTAAATTTTATTTAAACAAATGTACTATTAAAAAATAATTTTTGATATTGAACTCTTGCTAAAAAGGCTAATAAATGTTCCTAATTTTGAGTGGAGCAATGTTATTGAGATTTAATTTATTGATCTAATTTGTTGACCTAATTAATATAACTTTGGATTGACTGCGTCAAACATTGAAATTTTATGTTAATTCAAAATTTCACTGAGCCACATCATTAGGTCAGATTTTTAAATCTAAATAACATTATTATATGGGGTGTGAAACCCCTACTTGTTGAGAAAATATTGGATTTAGCGGTGACATTATATCATCAATGTCATATAGTGTCACCGACTAATGATAAAATATCAAATGAGCTTATAGTGTTTGGGATGTCTTAAAAAAAAGTATTTTTACAGTTTTTGACTTATCATAAGTCCTTTTCAAAAAAAATGTATTGTTTGGGATAACTTTTCGAAAACAATTTTAAATAAGTAAAAGTAATTTTAACACTTAAATAAGTTAATAAGTAGCAGTCAAAAAAATAACTTTTTCTTTCGATAAAACAATTTTTTTTACGATCAGCACCCCTGCCTCCCCCGACATCCATAGAAGACACCAATCACTAAAGACGACCACTGATGACACTCGAGAGTGTATTACTATCGACGACGCCAAAAGTAGCCTCTAGTGTCACAAATCTTTGGTTTATTGTTGATCAAGATCCACTGCAATAAAGGTACAACCTCTTCATTTTAAGTGATTTTATAGCTTCTATTTCACAAGTCTTTTATCGCAAGGTAGCAATTATATTTTTTGTTTGATTTCTTGTGTGTTTCTATAATTTCGTTTGAAGTTTTTGGGTAACATTTAGAAATCGTTGAATGATTTTGGGAAAAAAAAAAAAATTATTTGTGTTCATCTGTGATAAATTTTGTATTGTCCATTGTCCATTGTCCACTGCCTGCTGCCCACTAACTGTTTGATTTATGGCCAAGCAGAATGAACTCAACAAAAGCATTAATAAATGGAAGATACACACACCCTGTGATAACTGAAGCATGCACTGAGCTTTGAGGTTCATGTCCAGTGACTGATGCCAAATGTAATTTGTCCTCAAAAAGATATCCAGAACTTGAAGCATTTTCCGATAAGTAGTCGACAATATAAGGGCAGGGGTCCTTCAGACTTTTGCAGTTTGGACTGCCTTCACATAGCTGATGGCTGCAAGATAGGAACCAGTGAAATCCCTGCATTGGTCGTGTGCTACTTGTAATGCACTATAATGATGTTTCACATGCAAAGCTTTTTCTTCTTCCTCCCACTTGTATATCTAATACTGTGAAATTTGCTTCCTGCAAACTGGGGATTACTTACAGACAACTTCAAATTTGTACAAAATTCTTAGGAATTGGAAAGAAACAATGACAACAATAAGCTCAATAGAAAGAAGGAGATTAAGAAGCAAGGATCAAAGTACTGTAAAAAACTTACCCAGAAAAGTACTGTAAAAACCTAAAAATAAGCTAAACAGAAGATAAGGAAATTAAGAATCAAGGATAAAAGTACTGTAAAAATTCAATAAGTAACTTGCAGCATGGCAACAAAAAAAAAAAAAAAAGGTTAACTGAAGTTATAAAAAACTTAAAATACAAAATGCACTGCACTTATGTGCAATAATGAAATAGTAATGAATGAAAGACTATCTCATAATGCAAATTAAAACAATAAAAAAGATGGATGGAATACCACCATGAACCTTCTCACTATTAGTAATTGATGGATGGATGGAATATAACCCTAAGCACAATACACAAAGCAGCTAATACACCCACAGTACACATAGCAGCTAATACACCCACGGGCAAAACCGGTGGCTTGATGGGCGGCAGTCTAACAACAATGGGTGGCAAAAAATCACAAACTCAACCAATGTAGTGAGCTATTCAAGTGATCTGTTTCTCTACGGCATTTCAACAAACATTTCATGTGGGTATGGGTGTTTGCGCAAAGAAAAAGGGGGAAAAAGGGAGAAACAAAAACATTTGATTCAACATTTGATCCAATAATGGGTGGCAGAAAAAGAGAGAATGGGAGTTTCAACAAACATTTTAAGTTTCATTGCATGTGTACAAAGACAAACAGAAAAGCTACTGTTTTTGGCGTTTCAAATAACATGCTTTAAATATATCAGAGCTTTGAAAATTCATCCAATAAAATCCTGCTTCAGCGATGTAAGCTTGTCAAGAAAATAATGGTTTAATTAAAGCTTTTCAAAATCCTGCTTCAGCGATGTAACAGCAAAATCACAAAAGAAAAAAGAAAAAATAAATGTACCGAGGACTGAGAAAACAACCAGAACTGAGAATAGAGCTCCAAATATATGGAAAAAAATTTGCACCGAGGACTGAGAAAACAACCGAAACAGCTGCCGGAGGAACTCGTCGGAAACTGCCAGAAAGTGAAATAAAAAGAGGGATCTGATCTGTGTTGAGAGAGAGAGAGATTGGGGTAAGATTTGAGATGGATTCCATTTGATAGAGGCGTGATATACGGAGAGAGAGAGAGAGGGAGAGGCGTGAGAGAGAGTTCTTCGTGGGCAAGAAAATAAAGTTCGACACTAATCGTAAATTGTGAGGTCAAAATTTTTGAAATAATTTGAACTGGTTTTTATGTTAGAATTACGTTATTTGTTAAATATATTTATATTTTGTTTCAAAATGATCTGGACTATTTTTTGCATTCAAACTTCGTTCTATTTTATTATATAAATATATATTAAATCTAACATAATTTAATAAGACTTATGATTTTGTGTAATGATAAAAGGATCAAATTAACAATATTGGAAACAATAATTTTTTGCAAATAATTACTAAATGTCAATTCTAGTAACTCATTCATCCCTCGTCGAAGAATTTCATAGTTTAGCCTTAACACTTGATTAAAAAAACCAAACTAATCAATTGTCTTTTTATGATATGATACTAGGGGTAACGTATTGTTGATGTAAGTGCACATAAAATGTCAGATGAAGACAGCGAGAATAGAATAGAATAGTGGGTAGTAAATGAGAAATACAAAGATAAACAAATAGAATGAGGGCATTGCGTGCTGAATGGAAGTCATAGACACCATTAATATAGACTAACCAAAGAGACCAACATTTGCTCCCCTCAGGGTGGTTTGATATGTTTTGAGGTTTAAAGCGATAAATTCGACTGAAATTATTTTAAATTTTTTTTAATAATAATGTAAATTTTTTAATATTTATTTTTTTCCCGGATGCATATTAATTGTTTAATATTTGTATTCAATTTTTTCTAATATATCTTGTTTTTATTGATAGTATAACTAATTGACTTAATTTTTAAATTAAATAAAAAATTCCAAAACTTTCAAATTCAAAGATTATTTGACAAATTATATTGTCTCGTCATTGACGCTCTTATAAAAATATTTTTCTATGAATTAGAAATTTCTCTTAGAATATATGTTTGATTAGGTTTTTTANTCAGATTTTTAAATCTAAATAACATTATTATATGGGGTGTGAAACCCCTACTTGTTGAGAAAATATTGGATTTAGCGGTGACATTATATCATCAATGTCATATAGTGTCACCGACTAATGATAAAATATCAAATGAGCTTATAGTGTTTGGGATGTCTTAAAAAAAAGTATTTTTACAGTTTTTGACTTATCATAAGTCCTTTTCAAAAAAAATGTATTGTTTGGGATAACTTTTCGAAAACAATTTTAAATAAGTAAAAGTAATTTTAACACTTAAATAAGTTAATAAGTAGCAGTCAAAAAAATAACTTTTTCTTTCGATAAAACAATTTTTTTTACGATCAGCACCCCTGCCTCCCCCGACATCCATAGAAGACACCAATCACTAAAGACGACCACTGATGACACTCGAGAGTGTATTACTATCGACGACGCCAAAAGTAGCCTCTAGTGTCACAAATCTTTGGTTTATTGTTGATCAAGATCCACTGCAATAAAGGTACAACCTCTTCATTTTAAGTGATTTTATAGCTTCTATTTCACAAGTCTTTTATCGCAAGGTAGCAATTATATTTTTTGTTTGATTTCTTGTGTGTTTCTATAATTTCGTNGATAAAAGGATCAAATTAACAATATTGGAAACAATAACTTTTTGCAAATAATTACTAAATGTCAATTCTAGTAACTCATTCATCCCTCGTCGAAGAATTTCATAGTTTAGCCTTAACACTTGATTAAAAAAACCAAACTAATCAATTGTCTTTTTATGATATGATACTAGGGGTAACGTATTGTTGATGTAAGTGCACATAAAATGTCAGATGAAGACAGCGAGAATAGAATAGAATAGTGGGTAGTAAATGAGAAATACAAAGATAAACAAATAGAATGAGGGCATTGCGTGCTGAATGGAAGTCATAGACACCATTAATATAGACTAACCAAAGAGACCAACATTTGCTCCCCTCAGGGTGGTTTGATATGTTTTGAGGTTTAAAGCGATAAATTCGACTGAAATTATTTTAAATTTTTTTTAATAATAATGTAAATTTTTTAATATTTATTTTTTTCCCGGATGCATATTAATTGTTTAATATTTGTATTCAATTTTTTCTAATATATCTTGTTTTTATTGATAGTATAACTAATTGACTTAATTTTTAAATTAAATAAAAAATTCCAAAACTTTCAAATTCAAAGATTATTTGACAAATTATATTGTCTCGTCATTGACGCTCTTATAAAAATATTTTTCTATGAATTAGAAATTTCTCTTAGAATATATGTTTGATTAGGTTTTTTAAGATTATAATAAGAAAATGTAATATTACTTGGACTTTATTTAGTGACTTTATTTGATGACTTTATCATGTTTTTGTTATTAAATAGATAGTGGACTCTATTATTAGTTGAGGCTCACTATCAATTCCATAGTTATGATTCATTATGTCACTAGATAAGATTACTAAATTCGATACAACAAATATTTTTTTTTTCCTTATAAAATGTTATTGTGTGAGATTACTGGGTTAAATTTTTGGGCCCAAAGTGAGCTTTCTTAATGGGTTAAAATTGACTTGAATTATATTTGTAGACTTTTTAAATTTTGGGGCCTAAATCAACTGCTTCATTTTCTTCTGTGTTGGGCCGGCCTTGACTCCCCTCCTATTTTTAANATAGAATAGTGGGTAGTAAATGAGAAATACAAAGATAAACAAATAGAATGAGGGCATTGCGTGCTGAATGGAAGTCATAGACACCATTAATATAGACTAACCAAAGAGACCAACATTTGCTCCCCTCAGGGTGGTTTGATATGTTTTGAGGTTTAAAGCGATAAATTCGACTGAAATTATTTTAAATTTTTTTTAATAATAATGTAAATTTTTTAATATTTATTTTTTTCCCGGATGCATATTAATTGTTTAATATTTGTATTCAATTTTTTCTAATATATCTTGTTTTTATTGATAGTATAACTAATTGACTTAATTTTTAAATTAAATAAAAAATTCCAAAACTTTCAAATTCAAAGATTATTTGACAAATTATATTGTCTCGTCATTGACGCTCTTATAAAAATATTTTTCTATGAATTAGAAATTTCTCTTAGAATATATGTTTGATTAGATTTTTTAAGATTATAATAAGAAAATGTAATATTACTTGGACTTTATTTAGTGACTTTATTTGATGACTTTATCATGTTTTTGTTATTAAATAGATAGTGGACTCTATTATTAGTTGAGGCTCACTATCAATTCCATAGTTATGATTCATTATGTCACTAGATAAGATTACTAAATTCGATACAACAAATATTTTTTTTTTCCTTATAAAATGTTATTGTGTGAGATTACTGGGTTAAATTTTTGGGCCCAAAGTGAGCTTTCTTAATGGGTTAAAATTGACTTGAATTATATTTGTAGACTTTTTAAATTTTGGGGCCTAAATCAACTGCTTCATTTTCTTCTGTGTTGGGCCGGCCTTGACTCCCCTCCTATTTTTAACCAAATTAACTTTAAAAATTATTGAAAAATAAGAGAAAAAATAAACTTATATTGTGTATTTTTTGGGGAGATAAAAGATTATAAAAAATAGATTAAATAAAGAGGAAAATCTTATGATCCCTAGTTTTCTTCTTCATTATTGTTTAGAATTGTTTATTAAAAGCGTTGCCAAGAGAAAATAAGAAAGAAAAAATGAAGAGAGAATGCACATATTTTCCTTATTTGATTGAAAAGATGAGCAAAATAATTCAATAATTTTCAGTCTTCTTTATTTTCCCGTCATTTCCCTCCAAACAAAACATAAGGTTAAAAACATAATAATAGATTATAATAATAGTGTGTCAAAAGAAAGTAGTAGATGAAAAATTGAAAAATGAGAAAGAGTGGGAAAAAGGAGGGAAATTGGGCTCGTTTAGTAACGTTTTTGTTTTTGCGTCTTCAAAAAATAAAAAACAAAGATAATTTTTTGTCTTTGTTTCGTGATAAATACTGAAACAGAAAACATGTTTGGTAGTCATTTTTGTCTATCAAATTATGAGAATAAAAACAGAAAATATGTTTGGTAACTATCTCAAGTTTTTTCCTAAATATGTTTTATACTATCTTATTTTTTGTTTTCAAACAAATCAACACTTTATTTAATCAAAAATGATTTACAACCATGTATTACAAAGGAGTTACAAGAAGCAAAAGACCACAACCAGCAACCCATCAAAACAAAGCAGATAGACTGCCAGTCCAGCAACCCATCAAGGGAATATAACACCCAAAAGCAAACAGAATGATGTGGACTACGGACCACATTTCACTTGGATCTTCCGTAAAAGCTATAAGCCACCGCAACAATAGCCACGGCTCCAACCACAACAGTAGCTGTAAGAACTTCGCGTTGCTCCCATTTTCTTACCCAGGTTGTGAGTCTTCCCCGCCCATTCTTTCCCTGTTTTTCTTCCAAACTTTCATCTCTGCAACATGAGAATCCAGTACCACCTTGGCAACAGCTTGCCACACTTTCCTTTTTCTCCTTGCTGCCATTTTCTTGACGTGTCTCGCTATGCTTCAGAGCTTCTCCATTCGGAAGCTTATGTTCATCCAACTTGTCAGCTTCCTCAACACATACACCCATTTGACCCCTGCAATTGCAAACCACATGTTCTTATTACGTTGCAACAATGCCAAAGAAGTGGAAGAAACATTTCTATTTTCTGGAAATCAGACAGGAAAGATACATGTTGTGCTTCTCCTTGAACCTAAGATGATGAGCAATTAACATGCCATCATGAGGGTGATCCATCATGCAACGAGAAACTCTCCAAGAAACATGTGGAATTGCATGTTACATGAGAATAAATGAAAGAAATCACCATTTCACTGATTATGATACAAACATTTAAAGGAGAGGCACATGCTAGTTACTAGTTGGATGACTTTCAAATGAAAGCAGACTAAATAATGCAGAGCAATGTTTACAGCCTTTTTAAATAAAAAACAAACAAAAGAAAAAGAGAAGAAATAGAAGACTAAGCAAAAAAGGAAAGAAAAGAAAACTACAAGAGTATGCAACTTATGCCCAAGCTGACTTCATAAAGAATCCAAGTGAAGGATAATTCAACAAGTTTCAGAGGCAGAAGGATGGGAATGGCATGGTAACCTACTTCAAAGGTATCCACTTTGGCATTTCACATTCACACATCTCACATTACAATTAACAGTTGTTACTCCAACAATCCACAATCACAACATACATGGGTTGCTGCAGATTTCAAATAACGCTTATAGGTCTAGCAGAAAACAACAAAGGGACTTCTAAGCCCCAATTGAAAAAATTCCAATTTCAATTGAACAACACCATATTACAATATATAATTTTCGTTCCATTGCATGTTGCAACCCTAAATTTTGATTGCACAACTTGATAGATAGCCCTTATTTACTTGGTTAGAATATCTGCAAAAAATGTGTATCCACTCAAATGGCAAGCCACAACAATTTCATAATATTGTATAATCTAATTCACTTTGGGTTTCCTTACATTTATAAGTGTGGGTGTTATGCTACAATGCTTGATCTTGCTTTTTCTTCCTGCTTTTGCTATTTTGGATGGTGGTCACTGTTCACGTGTTCAATTGGTTGTTGCAGCCATTGGTTCCTGCTCTGCTGTTCTTGAGGCCTTCTTTTGCTGGTTCTCATTGGCTCTCTTGTTCTCTTTCCAGATCCTTTCAGCTGGATTGCAGCTGCATTTTTCTATGTCTGTCTAGGCTTCATTTTTTGTGTTGCTGCTATTGGTTCAGTTTTGTTGGCCTTCAGCTGCTGGTTTCTTGCTGTTCTTTCAACTGAGCTGCATTGCTCTTTTTTCCCTATGATGTGATCTGTCTGTTGTTTTTTGTTGCTGTCAATTGGTCCAGGTTGTTGTTTTCAGCTGAATTTTTAGCTGTGGTTTCTCCTGGCTTCTTGCTGCCTTCTTCTCTTCTCTGGTCTCTTGGGCTGATGTTACTGCGTTCTATGGTCTATTTTGGTGGTTTCTCAGCTGTCTCTGTGCTGGATTTCAGCTGTCATCCCCCAGCTAGGACTTCTCTGCTCATTGAAGATTTTTTCTCTTTTGGTGTTTTTAGCCTACTGTTGGTCTTTTCCCTTTTTGCTTGTTTTTGCTTCTTGTAATCTTGTTTTTATCAATCAAAATTTTCCTTTCCCCCCCCAAAAAAAAAATAAGTTTCACTAAAACAAGAGTCAGAATAGCATGAAATTACAAACTTCCAAAGTCGTTCAATGACCTTTCCCTTCCCAATATGCTGATTAAGTAATTCAGGCACATCATCCGGGGTGACATAACCATACCTGCATCTCAAGAACAAAAAACCACCAACAACAGCAGATTAGCAACCAGCAGCAGCAATAGATCAGGAACCAACAACAACAGCAGATCAACAACCAACAACAGATCAGCAACTATCTTCAGCAGCATAAGGTCCCAACCTTTTCACCATTGTCATCCAAATGGTTACAATTTTTTCATATACACAATTAATCAAACATATTATGCTCAAATTTTCATATGGGAACAATTTGTTCACTTACACAATTAATCAAACATATTATTCTAAATAACATACATACACACACAACATACAACACAAAACGCACATGCATACACACAACATACAAAGACACAACACACACCCAAACTCAGACTCAACACACAGACCACACAGAGAAATAGGCACTCAGACACACACCCAGAGCACACACACACTCAAACACATACTCAACACACTAACACACCTGGATCTGCATCCTCCACCTACTAAAAAACTCATCTGCAGCCAGCAGCCAGGACAAATTCCATAACTCAACTATAAGAAAAGCAGCAAAGCACAAATTCCACCATCCTCCATCTGCAGCCACAAATCCAGTTACAATACCTCTAACCTAGTTATATTACATCAAAATACAAATCCAAAGAACATCTAAAAAAAGATAATTATATTACCTAAGTCAGTAATCACATTCATACATCATATTGTCCAACATACAACCCGTAAGTTCAGACATTAATAAGTCATATCACTTAACTAAAATTCCAATAATTAATAAAAATACCACGAACAATAATGCACAAATAAAAATCAAATTGACATAAGGGCTTTATCATTGCAAGGTCCCACGGCTACTTCTACTATATAACTGATATTGTAGAAAACAATTGACATATCATATCTCATTGGATTATTGAACTACTCTGCCTTCTACCCCCCCCCCCAAAAAGGGAAAATACAACTGCAATTGGTGTTCTTTTGTTTGCCATTTAATTGGTTATAGTTTCAACCATTGAATCTTTTCGAAAATTTAATTGGTTTTAACAAAATTTAACACAAAGCTCATTCAAAAAAATCTTTTAGTGAATATACCAAGAGTGCGTAACCCTTAAGTGCTCAGACAAACCCATATTGCTCATTTGGTGATTTTTTTTAATTGAATAAATTATGTAATTCCACATCTCAATTTTCAAGCAAAGCCTGTTCGAAATAAAGTTAAATAAAATAAAAAATACATGTACAACATGGTAGTTGTTGTCAAATTTGACACTCTGAAATCGTGGCTTATTCAGAGTTATTCAAGAAATGAAGTCAAACGCAAATCATGGCACAAAGCAAGGATTTCCAAATCTAATGAATGGTTTGCAAATAAAAGGACATCAAATTATATAATTTCGCTTGGCACTACACAGAAGATTTCCCCAACGTTGAGGAAAAAAAATGCAAAACCACTCAAACAATTTAAACATATTTTATGAGATAGAAAAAGCTGAAAAAATTACGATTAAAGCACAAAATCGTACATATCTATGTAAATAAAAAATATAAATAAATAAAAAAATGATTAGGGTCTATAATATACATATCTATGTAGATCTATGCATATATATACAAATCTATGTATATATATACATATACGTATATAAGTAAAGGGGTTATACTTACCTTCTTCGTCTTCGGCCGTGAGTTTTCTTCATGTGAGCCTTCTTCATCTTGTTCGTGTGAACCTTGCTTCATCTTCGTCGATCTGTGAGTGGCAGAGAGAGAGAGTTGTTAAGAGAGCTTCGAAAAAGAGAGATGTACTGAGAGAGACGAGAGACAGTCGTTGCTTACCTTCACAAAAGAGAAGAGAGAGAGAGTGGTGATGAGAACAGAGTGAGCGACTGATATGTGCGAAGTGCAAGACTGGCGGAGACAAAAAAATATCCCATATTTATAGCCCCTGTTTTGAAGTGAAATTTTGTGGCTAACAAGAGTCGAAGGTGAGACCTCATTTAAATAATCCATGCGTGTTTTCTGGAATAAAAATTTTTTTGTTCCCATTTTTTTTTGTCTCTCTCTCCAATACAACGAAAAAAAAAATCAGAAACAATAAACAAACATTTTTCTGTTTTCATTTTTGACAAAAATTGAAAATAAAAACACAAAACTCAGAACAAAGACAATTATCAAAGAAGAGGGGCTGAAATTTCCTTTGTTTTGTTTAGAAGGAGAGAAAATGAATATAGATCATAAGTTTTTATTTTCGTCTCTTTTCACTCATAGAAGTATGGGATAAAATATTATATGGGAGAATTAATGTAAATAAGTAAAATTTATTTATTATCTTTGTCATAATCATACACATTTTGTTTACAATATTACCGTTAAATGCATAAACTTATTCACAAATAATACCCATCAATAAATTAAGGGGTACGACTTCAATATCATTGTCATGCCATACTGAAATTATTTTGATGCAGATGATTTTCAACTATTGATTGAAAAAATAGTATAAAAATAAAAAAAAAACTTATATACGTGACATTTTTATTAAGAACAAACATTAAAATTAGTTCTTAAACTTTTCTTTTGTTCTAAAATGTTTTTTTTTAATTTTTAATTACCTTAATTTAGCTCATCAACAATCAATTTTGTGTCAATTTTGTGTCAACTAAGTACTTCCATCAATTCACTCGTAAAAAAAAAACGGAGGCAAACCACGTGTTGGTCATATGGTTATCTATGCCACGTGTCGCTGTTTGTTTTAGCTGTTAAAATTGATGCAAAAGTAATAATTAAGAGATTAAATTAAAATAATTAAAAGTTTAGTGACTACTTTAAAATATAAGACAAAGTTTAAACATTAATTATGACATTTGCCTTTTCATTAAACATGGATTGAATATACTTATTGGAAACATACTCGGACCCTGAATTAGTAAATCAATCTTGGGATAGCCTGTTCTTTGTTCCAAACAAAGTTGTTGGTTGTTACCATCACCTCCAGTCAACCATAACACAAAACTAGCGTAAGAGAGGAACGTTTTTCCAATTCGTTGTTCTTGTCGCTTTCCTTTGCTTTGCTTTGGTCTGCGGTGTGAATACACCACAGCATGACTGTGGCAGCAGGGATCGGGTATGCCTTGCTAGCCCTCGGCCCCTCTCTCTCCCTTTTCGTTACTGTCATCGCCAAGAAACCCTTCTTGGTCCTCACAGTTCTCTCTAGGTATTCCACACATTTTTTTTTTTGGAGTTTTCTGTCTAATTATTAGAATCTCCAACATGTTCTTATAATTTATACCAATTCAGGTGTTTTATGTTTAATCTTTTCATTTATGGCTTTTTTTGATGGTATTGGTCACCCATTTGTGTGAAATTTAGTAGTTATGACTATTTTGATCGAATTATTCATGCTGGGTCTCTCTAAATACACTCACAGACATACACCATATTCTTGGAAGATTTCATTTGAAATTCTATAAATCGAATGACATCACTATTTTTTGTAATAATCACTGCGCCTTTTTAGTTAATTTCATGTTATTAAGTCCCCCATTTGTTGCACCTTAAATTATGGGGCTTTTTTACTACTTATATGTGTATATAGATGCACGCAGACAAACACTTTCTTCCTAACGGGTTTTTGTTGGCTTTTGATGGGCTTTGAATTGATGTATGTAGTACATTGGTATGGCTTATGAGCCTGATTGTGCTATCTGGGGTGTGGAGAGCTTTTCTTCCACTGAAAACAACAGCATGGTGGCCATATGGGATTCTCATACTCTCTTCTGTTGGCCTTCAAGAAGGACTTCGCATTGTCTTCTGGAGAGTCTACAAGTATGCTTTCTTACTATCTTGGTGTTTTGTTTTTAGGTTTGTACTAAAGCACTAGTTTGATGTGAATATCCAAGTTAAGTAGCATATTACTGGTTAACTACTCTTGTACACTAAAATTTTTTGTCTGACTTGCCACGACCATCATATTTTCACCTATTTCACTATTGTAAAACTACCAAAATACCTCCACCTCAACGGTTCTTAGTGTTGCCACCACTAATGTACCACCTTCCATTCAGAGCTTAAATTGTAGGCCTGTATATGTTATTTTGGAATGTGTAGATAAGAGGCTTAAATGCAAGCATGAGAAAGTAGTTATGTAATACCTAGCTATTTTATGTAATTTGTTTATTATTTGAAAATTAAAATTGATCATACCCCCTTCATAACTTTTGGGTTTTGGAGCGGTTAATCACATTAAATTGTGATTACAAATATAAAATTTAGTGATCTATTTTTTTTCCCTTGAATTCATGGTCCAAGGTCTCGAAATCTGTCATCGACTTGGAGGGTTTTAAGACATATCGGTCACAGCGTTGCGGAATGATATTTTGGGGGATACAACTTAATAGAAGAAGTTGAATATGACGAGAAATTTAGGCCATATCGCAGAGTTGCAGAATGGTATCAGCTGATTCGATGACGATAATTCGGCAACTCGGGGTTGACTCTAAAACATCTCGAACAACTCCGCCAAGTCGTGCAAGACTCAGGATATATATATATATATATATATATATATATATATATATATCGTGAAACAGTATTGGCTCAGAAGGTGCGACTTGGCCGACTCGTATCGATATTGGCTGATACTTTGAATCTTGCTTGAATTCCACTGTAGTCAATTGATCGCGCTAAACTCAATGTGTGTTCAGCTACGCTGTCTGATGGCATTAGTGCAATCATCATACCATGACAATGTTTGGCTCATGTGAATATTGAGACTGTTAACGTCAAGGTGGTCATACATATGCATTTAGAAGAGCATCTATTTACTTCCAACCATCTAAGAAAACCTTAGAGAAAATTGTGAGCAGTTTGTAAAGTCTCCTTGGGTGGATACAACATAATTGTGATCAATGATCCAGCTTTTAACACCAAAAGCACGAAAAACAAAAAATGAAATGGCTTCTCTAGGAGTTTTTACATGATGGGTCGATGTTATGAATCTGTTGTAGATTAGGGTTTTAGCATGGTTGTCTGGTTCTATATTGCAAAACCAGNAGAGCTTAAATTGTAGGCCTGTATATGTTATTTTGGAATGTGTAGATAAGAGGCTTAAATGCAAGCATGAGAAAGTAGTTATGTAATACCTAGCTATTTTATGTAATTTGTTTATTATTTGAAAATTAAAATTGATCATACCCCCTTCATAACTTTTGGGTTTTGGAGCGGTTAATCACATTAAATTGTGATTACAAATATAAAATTTAGTGATCTATTTTTTTTCCCTTGAATTCATGGTCCAAGGTCTCGAAATCTGTCATCGACTTGGAGGGTTTTAAGACATATCGGTCACAGCGTTGCGGAATGATATTTTGGGGGATACAACTTAATAGAAGTTGAATATGACAAGAAATTTAGGTCATATCGCAGAGTTGCAGAATGGTATAAGTTGATTCGATGACGATAATTCGGCAACTCGGAGTTGACTCTAAAACATCTCGAACAACTCGGCCGAGTCGTGCAAGACTCAGGATATATATATATATATCGTGAAACAGTATTGGCTCAGAAGGTGCGACTTGGCCGACTCGTATCGATATTGGCTGATACTTTGAATCTTGCTTGAATTCCACTGTAGTCAATTGATCGCGCTAAACTCAATGTGTGTTCAGCTACGCTGTCTGATGGCATTAGTGCAATCATCATACCATGACAATGTTTGGCTCATGTGAATATTGAGACTGTTAACGTCAAGGTGGTCATACATATGCATTTAGAAGAGCATCTATTTACTTCCAACCATCTAAGAAAACCTTAGAGAAAATTGTGAGCAGTTTGTAAAGTCTCCTTGGGTGGATACAACATAATTGTGATCAATGATCCAGCTTTTAACACCAAAAGCACGAAAAACAAAAAATGAAATGGCTTCTCTAGGAGTTTTTACATGATGGGTCGATGTTATGAATCTGTTGTAGATTAGGGTTTTAGCATGGTTGTCTGGTTCTATATTGCAAAACCAGGCATTGATTTGAAGGTTTTGGTTGGTGGAATTGAAAGGTAAATTGTAGAAAATTTTGAGAGACTATTTTTGGGGGTTCAGGTGTTAGGGTAAAGCATATAATGGATAAAATGGCTAGATTATGGAGTTATATTTTCAATGAGGAAAATATAGCACATGGGATTTGTATTAAAGTACTCTAGGTACTTAAGGCCACACATAGAGGCTCATAAACATAATCAAATCCCATTGCAAAAGAAAAATCTTGAGCTATTGGACAGACTAGGCAACTATACTAACAGCACACTGGTCTGAGGAAAAGATAAAATAAGAATCTTAAAGCCTAACACCTCATTAACAAATCAGTTTAGATAAAATAAGAGGCTTAAAACTAACACCTCATTACCAAATCAGTTTCGTTACCAGTATCTTTATACATGTTACTACACCAACTAGCACTTCAGGTTCTAGACCTGGACCCAGAAATTCTTGCAAAGCCGGATTTGGCTTAGAGATACAACTTTTGGATTAATAACTTGTGATTGATTATAGTGAAACTTTAAGCATGCCATGTGGTGTATGAAGTGCACTTGCTTCTATTACCTACATTTACTTGTTCCACAAGTATAGATGTTTATTTCAGTCTGATTGCTGCATTTTTTCAGACACACGGTCACGTACTTACCATTTAAGGCATGTTTTTTGTTGCTAGCAGATATGTTGCTCGTCTCTGCTTAAGTCAAACCTT